TCATAAAACAACTGTGGACCCTCTTTGCTAAAGCTGTAAATCTAATAAGTTGTCAGTGTTGTAGTGAACCAGTCTCTTTGATGTTAAACAGTACTCTAGTTGGCTTACACAGAAAATACTGACCAGTGATTCAATGCAGACTTAAGGTGATATGTAACTACATAAACATAAACACAACTGTGAGAGTAAAATATATAAACTTATGTATGCTATATAATAAAACCCTAACTAATTATATATTTCTATCTAAAAATGAAAATCACCCTAACAAAAGCAAACAGTCAGCAGGATGACTTAATGACAGACCAACTAGCTAATTTAAAAAACCCAAGCAATCAAGATTGTAGTGGCCAGGCCAGGAAAGTCAAGCACATGGGTGCGCGTGCACACACAGCATGTTCCTATCTCTACTGACAGCTTCACTCCACTGAATAAGAACACATGTATAACTACCACATCAGTGCTACTGAACAAGTAGGGTCCTTGGTCATATAAGGCTTCCATTCATTACAAAGACAACATCTATAAACACTATAGTTTATTTTTCTTGCACAGTTGCAATAGTCCATGTTTAACTATTTATCCATTAATTTAATTAATACAGGGTTAGATGATTTGTTTCTACAAAAAGTCATTAGCTAGTTTTTAGTCTGATAGTATGTTCTTTCCAGTTAGGTACATGCATAAATTAAATGTGTTCAGAAACAGGGAGTGAACCAAATGCTGGCCAAATTCTCTAATCATGTTAGTGGAAGAACACGAACTCATTTCCACACAACTGTTTTACTGTCCTTGGCTAGGAAACACTGTTGGCTGTGCTATTTGATTTACAAGCAGAGGGTTAATAGTACATTCAACCCAAAAGGAGACGGCTAAGTTTCTGAACAAATCAAAAGGATGAATGTACCATCAGAAATGGTGTTAGAACTAAACCTGGAAGTGCACTCCATCCTTCGCCAATGCTCTTGTGATTACATAGCTCTCTTCTAAATTTGGCAACTTCCCAAGATGTTTTTATACATACAAGTATGTGCTCAGAAAAACCTGGGGTACGGGATCACGGAGGGGACAAACTTTAGATGACAGAGAACTGGATGCCATGTTTGTTGAGGCGGTCAACCAGTGTGGTTTTTGCAAAAGCACCTCCTGGAGTATATACCCCTCCTCTGCAAGTGAGGGAGAAACATAAGAACTGAATTAAAACAAAATCCAAGTCCCAGAAACTTTATCAAGCAACATTCATGTTACTTTATATCACATTAACATGTCTTGTGCTTTTAGTTTTCTAAAATGAGCAACATAAACACATTAAATTTGGTTGATCACAGATTATCAGTCACCCAATTTCTAAGTTCACTGTGCCTCTATTAAGTGTAAAGTCACTTTCATTCACACAGCAGATCTAGGGTGTGGACACTCACTTCTTGGGCAAGGCTGCAGCTTCATTGAGGACTGTTAGAGCAGCCTGTACCATGGCAATGGGTGTGGCCACATAGGCGCACTCTAAACAACAAAGGAGAGACAAAATAACAGATTTGATACATCAAGGAAGCTACTGAACAGGTCAGACCTGTGCTAATTAGCCTGATTACCCAGCCTGGACAGGAGAGAAACAAATAAGAATTAAATACTACTATTATGGTTCATGTTGACTATATGGCTGTTTTCACATTTTGCCACCGGAAGGCTTGATGAAATATTTTAGGATTACACATGCAGGTAGAACACATTATGCACAAAAACCTGCCCTATACTAGGAGTATCAACATCCATTTACCTGGTCCCTGAATCAGCGTGCGGATCTTTCCATTACGTTTTCCCTGGGAGGGGTCCTCCCCCTCTGTGTAGCCCTCTCCATAGAAAGCAAACTGGAAGGATGATGTGTCCATCTAATACATATCAGACAACAGAGCCTATTCTTATTAGTATAATTAACAGTTTGAACTAATTTGTTTGCAAATGCATGAACAAAACCAATGCTGATTATTAACTTAGTGTACAGGCCTCTATTTTTCAGTACTCCCAACACTTCACCTGCTTTCTAGTCGGTCCATCCTTGGAGAATAATCCAAAGGAGAAGAACGCTGGGTGCTGGGAGGGCGGTTAAAAACAACACAGATATGAGCACCAAAACATTTCCCAGCACACAGTCTGTGTGACCATTTCAATAATAAGTAGAATATTCAGTTACAGTCAGCTGTGAAATGTACATTGTATTGATTTTATGCATGCCATGTTCATTTACCTTGATGAGTAAGTTGCGTCCAAAACTAAACTTGACTAAGAACCAGAACATCATGCCAGTAAACAACAACTTGATAATGTTGCCAATGCCTCCTATTCCTGCATACGCCCCATACTGGACCTAGAGTTGACAGTGACAGATTATTAATACCCTCAAAACACATCAGATAAAGTAATATGAAAGCTGTATTCACGTTGGTGTCATGTAAATCTGAAAACAGGAGAGTTCAAAGTGTTCCTGCATTGTGATGGCATATCTTCTAAAAATGACAAAAAACATGACAAAATAATAATTACTTTGCTAATATTAATCATAAACTGTCCAAACAAAGTCAAAGAGGATGGACACCATTAACTCACTGGATTGGAAAAATCCTGATTAACAGCCAAGTTCAAAACCAGCAATCGCTTATATGACACTACAAAATGACATTAGAGACACTTGGGTCTGCATGCTTTTATAAGAACACTCTACTAACGTCTTTTATAAGTGAATCACCAGTACAAAATTAACACAAAGAAAGTGTGAGTAAGAGGACACAGGAGGAAAGAAAAGCAGAAAAAAAAAACAAGACTGACCGGTGTGGCCTCATATTCCTCCACCAGGAAGCGCTGAGTTCTCTTTACAACAGAGTGATCACAGCCTATGACGGGTATTGTATACTGCTGGATCTCACTACTGTAGAACAGTGTGCCTCTACAAATACACACACACACACACAGAATGTGGTCATTTGTATTGGCTGTTACTATATCATCAGTGTATATGTTAGCTGATAAGCAACAAGACACTGTATCCATAATGCCAAAGATGTTTGAAATCATGTAAGCTGTGCTTCCACTGTAGGAACCTAATGAGCGGTATACCCCATGCTTCTCTTAACTGTTACCAATAGAAGTGAATCTCCAGCAAAACATTTGAGAGCACACAAACCACATTTCCAGCACTACTCAGTTCGTAGCTCAGCTTTTGACATGGCAAAGATTTGTAAGAGCAGAATCACATTTTAGAGCGACGAAGGAAACTTTCACCATCTGTCCTTCCTCAGTCTCAAATCTGCTTCTGCTCATACAATGTCTGTGCCTGCGTGCTCTCAAATGCTGAGTTGCAAAGTGAGCAGTGCTCAAAATGCGGTTAGAGCACCCTCAAACAATTTGGTAGGGCCTTACTTTGACTCATCATAACTTCACAGGTCGATGCAGACCATCCTGCTTTGCTTTTCCACTGTATTTTTTTTCAGTGTTGGTATCTGTTTAGCTAATTAATCGTTGTCAACCACACAAAGAGGAGCTACTACAAAAAGTTGAAAAAAATAACGGTTTTCGGCCAACAACCCTTCATTGGTGTGGAAAGCGTACAAAACATCACTGGCTGCAAGATCTCCCAGGATCTGTGGTCGACGTCCAACATCAGCACCATCACCAAGAAGGCACAGCAGAGGATGTACTTCCCACACCAGCTCAGAATGTTCAACCTGCCCCAGGAGCTGCTGATACAGTTCTACAGAGGAATCATTGAGTCTGTTCTTTGCTCATCCATCACTGTCTGGTTTGGCTCGGCAACCAAAGAGGACAGGAACAGATTCCAGTGGGCAGTCAGGACTGCAGAAAGAATCATTGGTGCCAGCCTGCCCTCCATGGAGGACCTGTACAACTCACAGGTCAGAAAGATTGCAGAAAAGATTTCTGCAGACCCCTCACACCCTGGACACAAACTGTTTGAACTCCTCCCCTCTGTACAGTGCTACAGGTCACTGTACGCCAAAACAACCAGACACAAGGACAGTTTCTTCCCCTGGGCTGTCACACTGATGAAGAGTTAACTATGACTGAAGCAAAAGGACTCGGCATCAGTGCAATAATTGTAAATAGTACTGATACATGCACTAGTCTGATAGCTTGAAAGGTGTATAATATTTATGAATACTGCCTCTCCTTCTGCCACGCTTTCATTAATCGTTGTCAACCACACAATGCTACATTCATTTTCTATACATCTTTTCCTAAATATGGAAACAGGATAAAGCCTGAAATAAGATTTCACAAAATGCCTCCAAAAAGCATAAACATATACTGTATACTATTTACTTTAAGTTGGGTAAACTGGTTGTACAAGTGCCACCAGGGAAAAGTAAAGGATCTGATTTATTTTTAACAGAACTAAAAGGTGTTCCTTGTCTACAAACCTGCGTTTGAGCTTCGAGCCAACAGCAGGGAGAGGCTTGTGATTAAACTTCCTCCTGATACTCTGGAGCTTCTGGCTGTCAGCGAAACTCTTGATGCCCGATAGCCATGTGGTATCATGGTAACACAAACCCTGACAGAGGAACAGAGAGAAATGTACATGTACAAAGGGAAAAAGTATGGACAACATAAACAAAGGAAAAAAGATGCAGTTTATGTATGCAGAAAAACACAATACCACATAAATATAAGAAATGGAAAAGAAGAGGAGGAGGGGGAAAGTGAGGAAAGTGGGTGATCAACACCTATGACTAATGTAATTACATACATCAGGTCCTGAGCTGAAAGTTAAGAAGCTCTCCAATGCAGTCAGTGTACCTGCGGATGAACAAACACAAATTAATCATCGCAACAAGAGAGTAAACAGGCCTGTGTATATTGGTGTCAGAGAAGATCTCATGTTTAATGCTTTTGTGTGTATACTGAATATGTGCATACCCTTGAACTGGTCCCTGGTATAAAGGACTCCCATGTCCGCAGGTATGGAGTCAAATCCACAGCTTCCGATAATGTACACACCTTTGTCAGCTGCCTGGCTGCTGTAGTTCAACTGCATGCCCTCCAGAAACTGCACACAGTTAGAGATAATACACATAAACGCAAGCTTTCTTGGTGTGCCTGTTAAACAATGAGTGATTATTCTATACTTGATTCAATTCACATGATTTTTAAAACTTTATCAACAATTATTATAAAATCATGACAAAGATCATCTTCTAAAATACTAAATAACCTGTAGGCCAAATAACCATAACTGCCATCTGTCTTCATGAAGAAAATACAAAAAACATTAAGATAAACTAGACAAAAATTTATAGTAAGGCCTGATGTGATGAAGATGGTGAGATATTTTATGTAGATTCAGACAATATCCCCATACATCTATATATGACTCCTAATACCAGTCATTTTTTGTGAGTATACATACCAGTGGGTCTCCACTTATGTCAATTTGATGGGTTTTGTTCTCCACACAGGCTTTTATCACTGGCTCACCATAGAAGCTGTGCTATAGACACAGAGATACATGCGCACAAACACACACAAAATTCATATCCTGTTAAACTTATGAAAAATTTCCTCCTTTGTTTTCTAAGTTCCCCATGAACCCCCATCTCTGCTATATACAGTATATTATAGCGATATTTAATATATGATTCATGTGATTCTTATGAGCTGTTTGTAGCCTTTAAAAGTAATCTTCAGTTTGGCTGGCTGAACAGAGCAGACGGAGGTTCGACAACAAAGGCCAACTTGCAGTGAAAGGTACAGACAGGTGATAAATGACAGATTAAACCAACATAAAGTGTCTCAGTGAGGTGCTGGGCCACCACGTGCCACCAGAACAGCTTCAGTGCACCTTGGCATTGACTCTCCACGTCTCTGAGCTCTACTGGAAGGACAAACATGCTTCCAACAGACGTGGCAATGAAGGCCATAGCATCCATATCATATCAAACCATTCACTGACCCCTCATGTCCTATGGATGTGGGCACTGTCATCCTGGAAGAGACCACTCAGTTATTCAGGTTTTTCCTATAATCTGTCACCACTTGTATTCACCCTCATTATTCATCCTTGTTCCTGTTCTGTAAACTGTTATGGAACGCATGTGTGCTTGAGCACCATGTGGTCTTTCTCACCCTGGTAATACTGGATTTATTATATTTTTGCTACAGTGGAAGAATATGGCTTGAAACAAGAACCTGAATGATGCACAGGAGGTGAAACCAGTGGTGCTGGAATCCCAATCTCCATTCTGACTTTAACACAATATGGCTCATTGTGTGCTGTATGTCAGCAGCCTCCAGTGTGTGAATGAAGGCTGCTCTGTGTGTATGTGAGTGAAAGCAAAGGAGAAAGAAGACAAAGACAGAGGAAGATGGGGATACACTGAGCTACACTCAGGCCAAAGGAAGATGCCAACACACCAGAGTTTTGAGATGAGAGGAAAAAGTAGTTAGCATCATGAGATGGCACAAGTTCTGTGTGTTGAAGAAAAATAATCACAGTCACACACATTCCTATGGGCTGTTCAACTTACAGGCCCCACACAGTTGAGAACAATCACAGTCTGTTTGCACATGGCTGCCAGGGAGTCTGGCTCTTCTACATCTGCCACGATGATGTCCACCTCTGTCCTTAGCTCTGGTTTACCTGCATGCGTGTGCACACACACACACTTTGTAAGGATAGGCGCTATGGCATATTTTGAACCCAAAGGTTTGCAATCCCATTCTCAGACATCAGTCATAATTCACACAATTAAAAAGTCATGCTACCATAAGCTCCAATGACAGCAGTTATTTTCACTGCCTGACAGTTAACACAGCAGTTTCCTCTTTTACATTATTATCCAACTGAAGCTAACATTTTATAAATGCTCTCAGTTGTGTGGCCTTCATTGGCAAAACAAAAATGTCTCCTGAAAGTCTGTTAGTGTATCTGAATCACAAAGGCAATGAACAGTAAAAAAACTGGCCAACAACTGCTACAAAAGAATGTACACTAAGGAAGATCCGACAGGGCTGAAGAAATTTGCCACCATAATAATTAGTTTATGTAAATATGTGAAGAGTAAAGAGGGAAATTTTCTGTTTAAACCAATAAACTGCAGTCTTCAGCACTCACTGAATGACTGGACAGGCTGTGTGTTTGTGTGTGTGTGTGCTGTCATGGTTGGGGATTGTACAATGAGTGGGTATGTTCCATCAGCTGTTGTTCACTCCCTGAAGAAAAAGCCAATGAGGAGGAGGCAACAGAATAACTCTCTAATCCTCTGGAAACTCACATTACTGTCATGACAGCAGAATAGCTCCCAGGTCTTGGGCTTAATTTTCCATGTTTAGAGTGTTGCATGGATACAAAGTGTATGAATTTATAGTTTTTAAATTTAGTGTCAAATATTTGTTTTGTTTGTTTAATTGTGCATTATCTTGTGTAAATAGGGTGTCCTTGCAAAAGAGAGAGAGAGCTCTCATTTGACTACCCTGTATAAATAAAGGTTGAATGAACTGTCATCTTAGAAAATTACTTGCATAACAAATATTTTCAGTAAATATTTCTTGAATATTCTACATATTAAATGCATTTGGGTACAACTTATTTCTATTTCTGTTTGAACTGAAATAATAATTTAACCGATTAATCAATCCACAGAAAATCTATTGCCAAGTATTTTCATTAATGATTAATCACTTATGAAGCAATGGAGCGTTTCCCGTATCTCTCCGTTTTGTATAATAGAAAACTGAACACTTAACTTTTGGACTGCTGGTTGGACAATCAAGACAATCAGCTGCCCTTAATACGAATAGTAGGTTTAAGTGAAACAGTTCCTTTTGTGTTACAGCCTCACTAATACTTTGGAGTTCAGTCAGAGATTAAGGTCAAAGTCATATCAAACTAACCTAATCACTAACAGGGAGAGAGATAGCTATCATGAGGCGGAGTTATTTAGCAATTTCCCATTGCCTAAGAACACAAGCATTCTCGGAAAATTGGATTAAAAGGGCAACATTATCTTAGTTTAACAAATTAATTAAAAGATATCCTTGTTGCAGGACCGTGAGTTCAAATACAATTTGCTTGAACTTGCATAACTAAGGAGAGTACTCAAATACATACCAAGGACTCCGGCGGCCTGCTCCAGAACTCTTTCCAGCTTCTGCTTGCTCCTGCCCGCTATGGCCCACTTCAGGTTCCCATTTG